AATAATTATCAGCATACGTATTCTCGTTAGATTAGTCTTTTTCTTTTTAGTGTGATTACATTACGGAGATCATTGATTAAGCTACACACTTGTGTGCGTTCAGACTCAAGTTTGAGGATGAAAACCTGTAGTAAGTGGTACACGCTCGTTACGTTAATCCATTGGAATTCTGTGTTTTTTCTTCGACGTTTCTTTGTAGATTCCGATTTCTTCTCTACCCTTTCATTCAAACGGGTGACCAAAAGACAGCAATCGAGGCCAACACACGAAGATATATCGTTGTTAATTGTAAACTGAACTGAACGACACATAGGATTCGGTCAGTCACTCATTGATACACCGAATTTAGAAAGCGTTTTCACGTAATAACTCATAACGGCACATACACTAGTAGGTCGGTTTATGCATCAACGGGCCTGAAGTTCCCAGTGGGGGAGAAGTCAGTCTCCCACCTCACAGAATCCTTTCGATCAGTGACTCACACAGTAATTTCGGTTGTTTACGGATATTAGTTTTTTCAGTGCCTCCGGCGTATATTATGTGCGCCATATGAAGCACATGTTTCAACGCCTAACTAGTTGGGTTGATGCCACCCTTCAGTTGTCCGCATTGTTCACGAGCAACAGTTCAGTTGTTGATGCTTGAAATAAAATTGGTAGAAAGCACTCTGCACCGTTTTCGAATCCTTTGTATCACTCTTGTCACTCGCACACTCTCCCCCTCGGGTATTCGTTCCTGTACAGAGAAAATCTTCGATCCTCAAATCTTCACCGATGTGTCAATGTAATGTTAGACTTATATTCTGCTGTGCTTACATTACTAGGTTGGAGGTACACATTTTACCTCCTATTTTAACCGCCCGCGCCCGACCTGATTGCGACTGCCAACCGGTGACATTGCGCTCTGTCATTCGTTCGAACGTACGTACGTATTGCACACGGCGAATTAGTGTTTGTTTGTATGCGCTCGGCAGTTTTCGCTCCTGTTCACGCCGGAAACCCCTATGCCCATACGATCTAGGTTGTCTGTCCCGATGGTCTGCACTGCTGTCAGTCGTTCGGTCGGCCCGCCTGTTTGTTTCTCCCCGGTCTTCATTCTCTCACATGAATTGCATCACCCTCGTGCGACCGGACTACCGCTTACCGCCTGTCCTCATGCTCTTGAGAGCTGAGCATGAGCAATCCTTTTGTTTGTCCGTGTGTTCTCTGAAGTTTGGCTTGTTGTCCTTTGGGGTGTGTGCAATGTGTGTATAGAAATGCATGTCTGTTCTCCGCGCGATTGTCACCGCCCTACCCCCGCTACGCCTTGGATAGACGGACATAATTCGAGATTAACACCCGTGAGTGACTGGTGTCTGTTCTTTTTTGGTGCTTGTATATATTTGTGGGTGTGCGCGTGGATATCACGTTCCGGATAAACTCAGTCGAGTAAAAGAATGATCACTAACTCAGAATAATCAGTCCCGTTGCCCACGAGCAATCGCTCAGCCGCAATTTCAGCCTAACTCAGTGCAACGGAACGAACTAAAACTGAAAGTTTTGTTGACCTCACATCAGGTTAAGTTCACGTGGAGAAATCGCGTTCACTGCCGTGTATATACACTCTGCAAGCGTTGCTTGATATCTGTTCCTGTCCTCGTTTTGTCCTGTATAGGTTAACGTGTGTGATGATCAAGAGAGCGTAGACAACGAACGGCGAAAAATTGACCGAGTTGTTCCAGGTGTGTTTGACCTGAGCAGTGAGCAGCTTTACTACTTATCCTCATTTACCTCCTCTCGGTTAGCCTGCTTTGCACCTGTTGGAACACATGTGTGCCTCACGATCAGGTGTATATAGATTTGCTTCGGTATCGCGTGAAGTGTTTATGTGCGTAATTTTGACGATAGCGGAGACCTGTGACAGATTATCATCAAAAATCATTCCTTTGGGGCTGGATTACATTTCGTGCCTCAAGACTCAGCGAAACATCTATAATGGTTTTCATGTTATTGTTTTACTGGTGCCTTAAAAGTCGATAGGTGAAGAGCAAACGATCGTTCGGATAGACCACAAACTTCTATGATCATGTTCTCAACGATTACGGTAGCATTGAATTTATGTGTAGAAGAACATTTAAAAAATTTTCAAACTGCTGGACACCACTCTAAAAGAAGTTGCCACAACCCATGAGGTCTGTATGACTGAGGGACTTTGTAAGACGAGTTTAGATCCACAAATTGACAGCATTGGAAAACGCATTTGTATAGCTGCATTCCCCTACCTGAAAGTTGAATGTACATCTATATACTCGATAAATAAAAGTAAGTTAAATATTTCAAAGTTGTCGTAATCGCTCCGTCTACGAATTTCACCACCGCCCCAACCTAGATTCCGACTACTCGATGTCGTGACAATCATTTAACTGGCTGCTTCCTCCCTCTTAAAAAATTAATTTTGCAGTCACGTATTGAATTTAAAGTGTTTAAGGATTATAGGTCAATTCCATCCAAATAAGTTGCCCAGTTTCAGTTTTTACAACCAATAGCCATGCACTTTCGTGCGCCGGTTCTGGTTGCCCATTTGGATGAACGGTAGTAGAGATGGAAGTAGAACCGAGGATAAAATGGGAAATTTCAGTGAATTAAGGTTACAAAGAAGTTAAGCAGATGCATGGACGACATTGTTTGCGACACTCAGCCATATTACTCACTATCTCTAACCATTACAGGAATCCCGAGGTCCCGATCCAGGGAGCNTGTGGGTTCTCATACCCTCGTGTCAAGTCTTATGTTGACCACCCTTGGCTTTCTTCCAGCCATTACCTTCCTCGGCGAACATCGTTCGTCGTGGCAACCTATCTGGTGACATGCGTAAAAAATTCCCCAACCTACGTTATCTATGGAGATCGACCATTTGCTCCAGTGGCGACCGCGATTACCTAAAACTCTGTGCACAACCTCAGCTTTGCTCGTCCGGCTTCCCCACCAGATTCATGCAATGCTACGTAGACAGCTGTGTTCAAATACATCAGTCCATCCTTATTCTGTCTTCCTAATAGCCAAGTTTCTGCACCATACAGCAGAAATATAAAATACAACTGGAGTGCATTGCTTGTTTAATCTGATCCCATTGTTC